ATAATAGAATAGTCACGTGAGAAGATGGTCGGAGGTTGAAGACGTTCCTTCAGGGCTGCTTGGGAGTTTTTTTTCACCGGTGTTGGATGACGCTGATGTTTGAGTGATCGTCGGAGGGAGATGAGAGTCTCCTTCCACTTGCTGATATCAAAGCCGTCGGAGGAAGAGGGGAGGGAAAGCAGTGGCAACGCCGCCGCGCGAGGCGCCGTTGCTCCAACCACCAGATCGCACCAAGGGATCACCGCCACACCACCATTACCACCATAGCTTACACCATCACCACTATTATAATCACCACCATCACAGCCTAATAGCACCTCTACTACCAAAAATAACTGTCGAAAAAAACCACCTACAAACACCACCACACCACCAATTGGGGATTTCTTCACAGGAGAAGGTGATAAGCCAAATGAAAAAGAACCTACATGAGAATTCCTGGTCTTGATGCCAGAATCACTTGGGGATCTTGGCGAATCAATTGGGGAAAAAACAGAGGGAGGCAGGGGAGGGACTTAAATCTTCAACTATGAACTAAAATGAACCATTCTGCTTGGACGAAAAGGAAGATACCACCACGCAAAACTAGCGATGCCGCTGCGCACAGCGACACAGTCCAATTTCGCGTCGACGTTGCGCCTCCCACGACTGCAGATAGCACTCTCAGGACGTTCCGTGCCGGCATTGAATGGCCCGAAGACCACAAATAGCACTCTCAGTGCCGTCGACAGGCAACCGCGGAGCTCTTAGTCCGATTTCGCATCTACGTTGCACCTCCGACAACGAGATATAGGTGGGTGGTGGTTTGGTGGTGAAAACAGACGAGAGAATGATGAGGGAGAGAAATTTGAATTGGGTGGGTGTGGGGGTGGGTAGGTAAATTAGGTTTAATTAAATTAATTATTAAAATCTAATTAAATCTACTTATCAAAATTCGGGCTCCTCTAGAGCTCGCTAAGGTGAATTTTGGTCAAAGAACTCGTCGATGCAAAGAATACGCTCTTTGATAGAATTTGTCGTGCTCTACGACTAGTTTGTTAGAAGATAACTAAGCCCAAAATTCCGTATGACCATAAAATGAGAGCTTTTTTTTTATCCTCGTAGAAGGAAATTACATAATTTTTTATTAACTTTCAGTCCTTACTACGCCTTCAAAAATGAGATTTCAAAAAACGATTCTTTCTCCACCATTTCCTATTTAGCGAAGAAACGTCAAATATTTTAAACAAAAGAACTTTGATCTCAAGAAATTACCTTTTCAATGTGGGAAAGCCCTTTCAAATATACTCTAATTGTTACAAGCGATCAAAATTATTTTAAAGTAATGTTATTTATCTTCGTTGGTGCTTAGCACCCACCCAAGTGGCAATTGCATTAAACTATAGATTTATTTAAATGTAAAGTCANAGAGAGAGAGAGAGAGAGAGAGAGAGAGAGAGAGAGAGAGAGGACATAAGCACATGCAGAAGTTTAGAGCATTAATTAATTAATAAAAATTAACTAACCTTTACAACCTGTTATGAAGCTTTAATTAACACTTGCAGAAGTTATGAAGATTAATTAGGGTGTAGTTGACCAAAAAAAAAAAAAAAACAAATAATGTAAGGGCAAAATGGTCAATCAAATGTTTCCACCCATCCACACTTTTTCTCTATATGTTATTTGTTATTTCAAATCCAATAACAAAAATTAATATTACAAAAACTTCGTGCAAAACATGTATTCTTAACCAGTATAATTAAAATTATGGTGCAACAAACAAAATTCGATGCGGCAATATAATTACCGTGACCTAGGTGCTCACAGTACGAGATAATTAATTTACTTAAATTTTTTCTTCGATGCAAATTTCAAAAAAAAATTATTACATTTTTCGATTTTTCTTTGTTTGTGCAATTATTTTTTACAAATTAAAAAGGTCTCATTTACATGATGATAATAAACTTTTCCATAGAATAGCCTTTTTGTTTCTAGCAATTTGGAAGCCTGTCTTATTTGATTGTTAGTATTTGATAATCATTTCATTTCTGTTTACAAATATAAGGAAAAAAAAAAAGGATTAACAATGCACCAATCATCCAACGCCACGTCATTAATTTGACTTGACTTGGTAAGATATAATTGGTGAATCATTCAAAATAAACCTGCACGCTTCCGCAGAGAATCCGGATTGCTCCCCATAACATTGTGCGCCCCACGAATCTCATCTGCCCTCTCTCCACTATATTATCCATTTTCTTTTCAGAAAAAATAAATTTAGATAAATAAGTGGAGAAATTTCACTAATAGTCACTCAATTTACTTGTCTGTTTCATATATTGACATCAAGCTTTTATAATGTTTATTTTATCACCTAACAATTTAATTTAATTTATGCTTATTTTAATTTGATGAAGGGAAATGCTATTTTCTAATTTATTAATAAATGTAATACTTAGCTAATTAAATATAAATTTTAAACTTAGAAATTTTAGCAGTATTAAAATTTGAAATATATTAATTGTTGAGAATGAAAAAAAATTAAAAATAAAGGAACCCTATTAATGGTTATGGACTTTGGAAAGTGATTAAATTGAAATAAAAATACAAACTAAGAGATAAATTTTGACATAAATTAAAGAGTAACTAACATGAAAAAATCCTGTAAGATGGGTGGTTTGTGAGAAATATTTTGAAAAAAGAAATAGAATTGTTGAAAAATCTATGACAAAAAAATATAAAACAGTGAAAAATCTACTTCTTCCGTTCAACTCACACAAATTTGTTATCTTCTGTACGTGCATTCACTCTAGAGAGAGAAACAGTCAATAGAAATGTTTGCTGCCATCAGTTTCTAGAGAGAGAATATTCGGCGATGCGGCTGAAGATCGGAGACTCTGAAACCCTAACCCTAGCTCAAACATATGCCGTCTCCACCAGATAAAAACCCGGATTCAAACCTGGACCAGAAGAAAACGCCGGCTGTAAAAAAGAACCGGCGTTCGAGCTGGTCCGGCCCATGGTTGTCCTCAAATGAGGCCTTGAAGAATGTAGTCCTCAAAATGCGCCTCCAGTCTCTTTCCAACTCCTCCTCCACCACCCCTCCCTCCGAGTCTGAACCCGAGTCCGACCCGTTTAATTCTCGCCCGATTAGTCGTGGGAACGCCGCACCTGATTACGCATCTTTGCTTTCCGACAAGTTATTATTGAAAATCCTCTCGAAAATTTCTGACAAGAAACAGCATATTTCGAATTCATTGGTGTGCAAGAGGTGGTGTATGCTAAGTGGAAAATTGATTAATTCTATTAAGTTGTTGGACTGGGAGTTTTTGGAATCCGGAAGGCTTAGTTTTCGGTTTCCGAATTTAATTGATGTTAATATTGTCCCCTCTTGTATTAAATCAGAACGGAATTCTGGGATTTTGTTGAGTAACAAATCATGTTCCCTTTTTTTGGATTCGGGCGTTGGCGAAAATGAGGGGTTTCTGGTTAAGAAAGGGGACGTTTTGGGCTCAGATGTAGTTGATAGAGGGGTGAGGATATTGGCGGAGGGGTGTGGAAATTTGAGAAAGGTGGTTTTGATGAATGTGAGTGAGGAGGGGTTGAGTATTTTAGCTGATGAATGCGAGTTGTTGCAGGAAATGGAATTGCTCTGTTGTGGAGATTCATCTTTAAAGGGAATTTTCAAGTGCCAGAATTTACAGATGCTGAAATTGGTTGCACATCTTGATGGGATATATGATTCTGTGGTGTCAGATATAGGGATGACAATTTTGGCACAGGGGTGTAGGCGGTTATTGAGGCTCGAGCTAGTTGGATGCGAAGGGAGTTATGACGGGATTAAAGCAATAGGTCACTGTTGCCAGATGTTAGAGGAGTTAGTGCTTTCCGACCATAGGATGGATGGTGGATGGTTATCGGCTTTGTCATATTGCGGGAACCTGAAGACTTTGAGGATTCAGTCTTGCAAGAGTATTGATTCAAATCCGGGGCCAGATGAGCATTTGGGTTATTGTCCAACTCTGGAAGAGTTGCATGTGCAACAGTGTCAGATGCGTGAAAAACTGGGTGTAAGAGCGTTGTTTCTGGTGTGTCAGACTGTTAGGGAGATAGTTTTTGAGGATTGTTGGGGATTGGACAACAGTATATTTAATGCTGCGAGTATTTGCAGGTATGGTTCAACAGTAAATTCGGTAATACTGTTCTGTATGATCGCTTTTATAGAAATTGAGCTGCATTCAACTGCCTTCTGATGTACAGTTCTATGAATGCTTAATGATGTATAAACAATTAAAGATATTCCTATGAAGCGTTGTTGCAGTCCAACAGGTGTTTGACCCCTTATATAAAAGTCTGCATATGAATCTCGTGTTATTTAACATTACAGGCTATTGTGATTTTTAATTGGACTGCCTAGCTAAAATTGCTCAGAAATAGATGTTATTTTTTAGAGCACGCGTGTTTAAGCACACCCAAGCATGCTCTTAGAATTATATGCCACTCCTCTATGGCTGAATGTTGCATCACGATTGTAATAACTTCTAAAATTTCAATGTAAACATAAATATATAAATGTAAAGCATTGTTGTTAACAGTGCTAGAATGTTTCTATGTGGAAAAGTGAGAAATTGAATTTTTTGTGTTAAAAAAAGAAAGAACAGAATATTACTGTGGTTTTTGTCTATTGTGCAGAGTAAATAGTTGCTAATTGAATTGTTCGTGCTACTGGAAATGAGCCTTCCAATTCTGGAACTGAAATTTTGATGGATGCTTATTTTACTTTGTAGGAGTGTAAGATATCTCTCGCTGGAAGGATGCTCATTACTGACGATGGAAGGATTAGAATCAGTAATTCTTTTTTGGAGAAAGCTTGATAGGCTTAGAGTAGTTGCATGTAACAATATAAAGGACGGTGAAATAACACCAGAATTAGCGACTTTATTCTCTGTTCTCAAAGAGTTGAAATGGCGGCCAGATTCCAGGTCTCTAGTGGAAGCAGGGCTTGCAGGGACAGGAGTGGGACAAAAAGGTGGTAGATCATTGTGGAAGTGACAGTTTTAGGCACTAATATATATGGAGAAACTGCAGGCTGAATAAGTGCCAAGCCATTTCAAATGTCAACTGCAAAGGGTGTCTGCATGATGAACTAACATCCTCAAGACTGTATCTTGGACCTCATGTTGATTAAGAGTGAGTGAATACCTTTTAATTTTGAGCTTCACAGGGGAGCTAATCATTCTAGGTTATCAGATTTTCTGTCAAAATGATTGTGATTAGCCTTTTTTTCCCAAATATAGAGTCCACTCATTCAATGTATTTCATTAAACTCAGCTGATTCTCCTGTTATCTATAAAGTTAAGGCACTATTCTTGTAGCAAAAGTTGTACTTGTGTTGAGATTCTAGGAATAAAATTTAAAATCTACACCTCTTAATTTCTTTCCTTTTACATATAACGAACCTTAAATATCCGTGCCCCCACAGTACTCATTCTATTCGAGTACAAATTTTCTTACAGATATTTATGGTTGAGTTTGATTTGCATGTAGCATCTTCAGTACTTGCTTCTGCAGAAAGTTAATTGGTTTCCTGGATTGACAGTCCTTTTGGTGGTTGCCATCCCATTATGCCTCTTTTGTTCAGGAATGCATCTGTGGATCTCTATCCACATATTTCTGAAAACGATATGAGGTCAATATGTAGTTACTGATTAAAGGATTAAGGTTATGTACGATTGAAATTCTCCCAGGTAAAACTAAAATCAGTTCAGCCAATGCTTTTACTTGTATGTCAAAATTGAAATTGTGCAACTGAAGTACAAATATAATTCTTTCAGTCTTTTGAAGAAAATTAATGGATGCTTTTTTTTTTCTGCTTAAATTTCATTTTTGGCTAGAAATCTGGTCGTGATATTCCTTGTATTGAGTCACAAATTTGGGGCTAATTTACACTGAATTATTCATTGAACTCGAACTGTTCATGATTATCAACTGCTTATTCTATTCTCACAATTGTTAATAAGTTGCCATACTGTACAAGAAAAATGAAAGCGATCTTTTCTTACAATCGTAACAAGTGTTCTCCAAGGTAAACCTTGTAGATAATGCTATATGTTGGACTACAGATGAAGCCCGTTTGAAGACCTGTCCAGGTAAGTATTGGTACTTCATTTATACTTTGCTCAAATGTTCATAGTAGCTTGATTTGGACGATTTTGACCTGAACTCAAACTTGGTTATAATGTAGGCCGGTGTTCCTATTTCCATTCAAATTACTTGTGAACCTTAATGAGCAACTGCTACATATTAATGTTATTTTTCAATTGATGCACACATTCTCTTGAGTCTATATTTGGTTAAGTTAATGCAAGCCTGTCAGGTTGATATAATCTTCAAAGTTGTTGGCTGCATCAGTTGGGATTTGCAAGGTAACAAATTGATATCCAAAATTAAATTGACCCCCAAGATGTGTATGGTGAAACCATTTTGTGTTAACGGCGGATAATCTTCGAAGAAAGGGCTATTATATAACGGAGTGGTGCTATTTGAGTAAGAGGGATGGAGCAACGATCGATCATTTGTTCATTCATTGTGACGGTGATCATTAGATGTTGAATGATTGAGGGATGGAGAAACGATCGATCATCTGTTCATTCATTGTGACGGTGTCGTTGGATGTGGAATGATATTCTGACTTCGCAACATATGAGTTGGGTGTTCCCCAGGCGTATCAAGGACGTGGTGTGGGCATGGAAGAGAGAGTTTCGAGATAAGAATAGTAAGCTTGTTTGGGATCACATTCTAGGATGCATCGTTTGGTGTGTGTGGAGAGAAAGAAACGTCTGACGCTTTGAAGATCAAATACAGACGACAGAGCAATTTAGAGAATTGTTTTACTTGACTTTGTATAGTTGGTTTAAGACTGCAACCGTTAGTCTGATAGAAGGGTTGTCGAATTTTTTATCGTTTTTATCTTGCTTAACATGATAATGTACTCCTTGTGTATTATCTTTTTTTTATTATTATTTATAAAATTTATGTGATTACCTATAAAAAAAAATGTATATCTGCTACAAAGATGTGATGGTAATGTTCAAATGGAAATCATTGGCTGAACGAGTATTATGAAGACGAAGGCATATATTATTATTTCCTTTCAATGTTCTGATATTTGTATGTATGATTTACCTCCAAGGGTGACTTTCTTACTGTGGACGGTTGTGAGGGGACATGTGTTAACGGTGGATAATCTTCGAAGTAAGGGCTATTGTATAACGGAGTGGTGCTATTTATGTAAGAGGGATGGAGAAACGATCGATCATCTGTTCATTCATTGTGACGGTGTCATTGGATGTGGAATGATATTCTGACTTCGCAACATATGAGTTGGGTGTTCCCCAGGCGTATCAAGGACGTGGTGTGGGCATGGAAGAGAGAGTTTCGAGATAAGAAAAGCAAGCTTGTTTGGGATCTCATTTTAGGATGCATCGTTTGGTGTGTGTGGAGAGAAAGAAACGTTTGACGCTTTGAAGATCAAATATAGACGACAGAGCAATTTCGAGAATTGTTTTACTTGACTTTGTATAGTTGGTTTAAGACTGCAACCGTTAGTCTGACAGAAGGGTTGCCAAATTTCTTATCGTTTTTATCTTGCTTAACATGATAATGTACTCCTTGTGTATTATCTTTTTTTTATTATTATTTATAAAATTTATGTGATTACCTATAAAAAAAAAATGTATATCTGCTACAAAGATGTGATGGTAATGTTCAAATGGAAATCATTGGCTGAACGAGTATTATGAAGACGAAGGCATATATTATTATTTCCTTTGAATGTTCTGATATTTGTATGTATGAGTTCTACGAGGGATTGCACCTCAATGTTACAGCTCTAGTTGTAATGTTAGATTAAAAGATCATGTGAACTATTATTGTTGCTAGTGGATTTGAAAAATTTAACAATGGACTGCATGTAGAGAAGGGGGCATCAAGAATTTTGTTGCTTGAAGATTGTCTGCCTGGAACCTGGATTTCAAACAAGGGATGTCATCTCTTCTGGTGAAATCAAAATCCTTTCGACTTTTTTCACTTTCCACCATTGTAATAGCCCGTTATATGAGCCTCTCACCCTATGCCAGAACACGTCCAAGTTTAAGATTTCTTATCATAAAAACTTTTACACCATTTAGACAAGTAATTTTGTTTTTGTTTTTTGGTGACCTTTGGAACTAATTATGAAATGTTTTTTCTTTGCATTTCACCCGATTTTTAGCATTTATCTGCTGTTCTATAACCATCAGGTAATAAATAAAATCGTCACTTAATTAGTTAATAGGAATTAAATAACCCAGGTCGAAACCACCAAATCATATGTCTGGATCAGTGAATTGAACTTGAACCTCAAATAATGGTTTAAATAAACAGAATGGATTGATTGGTTTAAAATTTGTAAATGTCCATATCTTCAACTGTGGCTATTTTTTTTATTGTGTATATTTTTTATAAACAAAGAATGTATTAAAATATCAGAAAATAGAGTAATACTACGGAGTTGAGAAGACGTTAAAGTTTAAAAAGGAAAAGTATTAAGCATCTCCAAAATCATCAAAATGCAACGTTAAGAAATATACAAGGTCTAATTATTTACATTTAACATTGTTTTCACATTTAAGTATCATATGATATCGAACAAGTAAGGCTCAGTGCATATTATCTGGTACTATCTCCGGATACCACATTCTCATTCACAGATTTTGGATCACCACACGACCTTGAGACCGATTTGAAGAGTTTCTCGATCTCCGGTGCACACCTTGTAAAAGATCGACTCCAGAAGTTGTACCGAGGATTCTGTTTTGAAGACGACAATAAAAAAATAAAACTTGTCAAACAAAAGGAATATGTGCATTACAGGACTTTCTAATAATGATTAACTAATGAACACATACTTACCTTGATGAGCTCAATAAAAGTAGTCAAAAGACCCCATGGATGAGGCTTATTGACTATAAGTCGTTCCAATAGGACTTTAGTGATTTGCTCTTGAACTATTTCCTGCTCAAATTAGATTAATCACATCAGATGGGAAGCATGCAAATTGGTAAGTATCAGAAATAATAACTAAATTTTAGGTTCAGTTGATTTTTCCGTTATAAGAACCGTACCAGAAAATATCTATATATCACACAGAGTATGCGACAAACGAGTTCTGCGGCCATTATAGATAGAGGGATTGCAAGTTTGGTTGGTAAGTAGGCTTTTCATTGTAAATAGTGAAAAAATAAAAGCTACTCGCTCCCCAACCCACGCAAAATAATGCAGGGAAAACAGGAGGAGAATAAAAGAAGCAAATATTAATTAACATTGAATTAACTGAAAGACAGAGATGTCATACACACCTGGTTAGTTTCAGCAAACAGAGAGAGGAGAAGGAAAGAGAAGTAATGTGTGTGGTTGTTCGGATAACGTAATTGGTTAGCAACCGCATTCAAAAAGAGGTAACGGCCCTCGGTGTCCAGTTCCATTATCATAGTCTGGAAAATGTCCAGAGCAGCACTCACCGAGAACATGGTCACACTGGCAATAGATTGTGAATGTTGGGGTGGTCTTGCCTGCAGCTGTTGAATAGCCTACAGAAAATTTCCCCAAGGATTGATTCAGAAAAAAGCATATTGCAAATAATAAACATCATGCAGGTTAAATAGAAGACGAAGACAGTACCCAAGCAAAAAAAAAAAACATTTTCCTGCATTTTACATATTTTCTAATCTATGAGGACCGATGGAAAGAAATTTGGAAATACCTGCATCCCAACATAAAGGACAAGGGAGTTGATGAGAGGAACATTGTAACGAGTCGCAGTACAAGCTGCAATGCTTGGAGAAAGCAGAAGCTTCTGCTTCAACTCAGACAGAAATAAGGAGCCTCGTTGCCTTGTCTATGGGATAAATTGACAGAAGACTTTTGAGAACAGAATAAAACTAAAATTATATCGCATGTAAAACTAGAACAAAATCTGCTTTGCGACCAACTACATTTTCTCTCCGATAATTCAAATTTGTGTTTTTATTCAAATTTACCTTCAGGTACTCATCTACATCACCCTTTATCTGCTTCGCTTTTAGAGCTGCATCAACCTCGGAAAGAATGTGCGGTGCTTGCCTTATCTCAGCCAGCAGATCAATCTAAATATAATGTGTCAGAATTGATGGCTAAGCAGATTATGATCGAGTATAAGAGTGCGAAGACACCTTTAAGTTGGGAGTAGTAGGATCTGGTAGCCTCATAGTGCGAGGAAATGCACTAAGGATTATACTTCGCATCTGTATACAACTTGGAGGAATAACATCGCAGAAACTGAAATGATAGTCACAAAGAAATTCTGGAAAATCGTGGAGTAGCACCAACAACACCCGGACCGTTCCTCTGTAGAGAAACTGGACCTAAGTGCAGACACATAATTAAAAAAGAAAAATCAAACATGTAGTAATTTTCCCGTAAATATTAAGAAAACAAAGGTATTATTTGTAATAGAGGCATACCGGTTCTGCAAGTTCTGCATTCCTCAAAAATGGGTCCATGAACTGAAACAAGTCGATCAACAATCGTTGAAAATAGGGCCACCCCTTCTGTGCATTTGCTGCGAGTAATTTTGGCATGAAACTTCTATGACTTATCAACTCAAGCCACGCAAAACTGAAAGCAACTTGCCAAGTCAGTACAACCTACCAAAACATATCACCACCAAGCATAGGTTGCTGAAGATCAAAAATATAAATGAATGTCACCAATGTTTTTTTAATAATTTGTACATAACTTGCAAAACAACTTAGAACTTTACAGATAGCTCTTGATATTAACAACCCAGTTTCAATCAATGTTCCATAGAAAACAAGTTCTTGCCATGTACAAACATGTACAAGTTGGTGCCATGACACCATTGCATACGTTGACGAAGATCACATTTTTACACTCTTGAAAATACACTAAACTTTAAATTAAAGAAGCACCCATCAAAAAAAAAAAACATCAGCTTTTTACCTAACCACTTTAAGAGCCTACTCAGTGAAAAAATATAACAGTTTAACTTGACATACTGGCGATGAACCGTATGCTCACCTGAATCCTGGAAATTTGAGAGGCTGAAGAGCATGAAAGACATTTGCTAGAGCAGTCAAAACCTAGAAGATAACAATTTAAAGCTGGAGTTAATTCAAAATTGTCAGAAGCTTTGAAATGAATGCAGCACAGCAAACCTGAAAATTAGCGCCATCAGAAAT